GGAGGTTGGGTTCTGCAGGTTCGGTGCTTCCGGATTCTTATGTTAGGGTTTAGGGTTTTAGGGTTCAGGGTTTAGGGTTTTAGGGTTCAGGGTTTAGGGTTTTAGGGTTCAGGGTTTAGGGTTTTAGGGTTCGGGGTTTAGGGTTTTAGGGTTCAGGGTTTAGGGTTTTAGGGTTCAGGGTTTAGGGTTTTAGGGTTCAGGGTTTAGGGTTTTTGGGTTCAGGGTTTTGGATCGTTGGTTTTGGGAGCTTTGTTCGGGCGATAGTGTGTTTGGGGCTACTTTAAGGGTGTTGGTCGGGCTCAGAGTTTCCAGTTTGTGTTTGAATCGGGAGCCAAAGGCAAAGCTTAGAATCCCTTTGGGCTTTGAAGGTTTGAGGGATCCTACGGGGTCTTTGGGGTTCGGATCGATCTTCGGGTTTTCGGGTTCCGATTTAGGGCCCTCCTCGGGAACCCGGGCTTCGGATTCAGAAAGAGGAGGCTTGGAATCGAGGCTCGGATCAGCCAGGCGAGGTTCGGGCGGAAGGTCCCCTGTTCAGCTGCCAAGTTTGGCTGAAGGGTGTGGTTCCCGAGTGCTGCGACCTGCATCCCTACGTCCCCGGAGCCCTTCACCTTTAACAGGAAGTGCTCCTTCATCATGCGGATCATCAGCTCCAACCTTGGCTGTCGAACGCTGCGCCGACTTCGAGGCTTCAAAGGTTCTGTTACGAAGCCTCAGAAACCTCCACTCACCTAGATCCCGACCCAGCCCCAAATCTCACCGATCCTTCTGGACTTTCACATTCCCTGACCAGGGGCCCCTGGAGACGTCCGAAGGCCAACTGGTTGGCTTTCAGCAGCATCAAAGAGCAGAGGCAGTCGAACATGTTCTGCACATACTCCGACTCCTCTACACATGGCTCAGTAGGACAGGAGAGGGCTGATAAGAGGCAACCTAAGGCAAGCTCGAAATCATAAACCTCAGCCGGCTTCAAGTGTAGCCCACTGCACCCTTCCCCTCCTCGCTGTCCGCCGGATCGCGCTTCCGGTACGCAGCGATGCCACGCAGCAACTTGTCGACCCCCTCGAGCTTCACCATCCTAGGGTTTAGGGCTTAGGGTTTAGGGATTAAGCCACAGCTTGCGGATGGCTGCGGAAATTTCGGCCGGTCCGTCCGAAGCCGGGTTCCGCTTTTTCGCCGAGTACCATACAAGGGACCCCCTTATGGAACAACCACTGGAATCAAGAAGTACCGATCTTCGAGCCGTGGGCTCAATATTCGGACCTTCTGCTAAAACTGCTGCAGTTCATGCCCCGTCGCACCTACAATGCTGTAGGGTAAGAAGCTCTACTCAATTGTGGGCCTGCGCAGGTCAAGATGCAAAACCCGAACACCCCAAAACCCTTAGCCTTAAAGCCCCATACCCCAAAACTCAAAACCCGGGTCCTGAAGGCCCCCAAGCCCTGAACTCCACCCTAAACCCTAAACCCTAAACCCTAAACCCAAACCCCAAACTATCTGAAGTTCTTTGCTATGTTTAGCCGGCCAGGTGGCGAGTTCCTCGCAGGCTCCGAGTTCTGCAGAACGATGCCCAAGATCTCCGAGGCGTAGACCTTCAGCGCTGCAGGGAGCGACTGATCAGGGATCCATTGGAACATGTGGGTGGTTGTCAAAATTATGGTCCCTTTTTGGGTCCTTATTATAATACGGCACCTATTATTTAGGGTACCCCAAAAGGGACCATAATTTTGACAACTACCCATGTGACTTAGAGTTTAGGGGCTTAGGGTTTCGGCGCTCACACTCGGACAATCCAGGCGCGGCATATGGCTTAGGGTTTAGGGTTTAGGGGTTTAGGGTCTAGGGCTTTTGAACATGTGTGTGTGTGTGTGATCTGTACATGATCTGGACTCTCGACCTCCTACTTCGAAGGGTTTAGGGTTTAGGGTTCCACATGAAGGAAGGCTTTCAGATCACCTCTGACCAAACTTCTGAGGCCCTCAAACCATGAACCGCCGATCGTCCTCGAGCCTTGTTGTAGTCCATGGCGCCCTGGGTCCGCACGCGCTTGATGAGCCATGGCAAGAAGTTCCTGAGGTCTTGAGGGTTTAGGGTTTAAGGTTTAGGGTTTGGGGTTTAACCGCCCATAGCACCACAGCTACCACTGACATTCTGATCTGGATGATGACCACATCTCAAAGTGCCACGGAGACAGTGGCAGTCGTCATCTGCACGGCAAGAAGAGTCAGATGATTAAGCCAAGCAAAATCGAGTCTGTCCTTAAGGTAACTGCGTGAGTGCTATCACCCTTCTACCTGTTCTCGTCTCGGCGCGAATGTGCTTACCTCTGGCACCAACGCAATACTATTGCTGCTTGTACGTCTTCGCTAAGCATCGGGATCTCCAGGAACTGCTTGCAGGTCTCCTGCGGCATCGAGTCCTTGGCTCTTCGCAAGAGCAGCAAAGAAATAAAGGCGGTTCCCCTACCAGCTAGTAGTAGCACCAATGATTCTGCTCTTATTCCCTCGCAACAAACACCCTCCCCACTCCAGCATGACCCACCCGCCGACATATATTTGCTGGAATCAAACATGCTCAGAAACATGACCACTTCCGACCTTGCTTCCAAGCATCCGCCAGGTTCTCAATCATACTGAGACCGTTGGTCACGGCCTTGAAGTCCTGAAGGTCTCTGAGAACTATCGTTGCGACTCGGACCATGCTGATTCCAAGCACTCTGGGAAAAGATCCCTAGCACCCCGTCGCACTTTCAAGAAATTAACGAACGGCAAACACGTATTCCCTGGAGCCCTCAACTCGCTCCTCGTCGCTGGCGGTCTCGTCAATGCGCATGAGAACGTCCACGGTCATCTGACAGAGCTGCGCTTCGAAGAGGGCCTTCGCGCGCTTCGTTCGTGGCAGTGCTTTTTTTTGACGGTTCTGACAGGTGGAACTGGCAGAGGTGCAAACATGAGTAGAGCTCTATGTCGTGCTGAAAATCTATGCATTTATTGGCTTCTTTTACGACGATTCCGATTCCTGTGGTGCACCAAACCCTAAATGCCAAAGCCCTAAGCCCGAAGACCGCATCCGAGTTCTGCCACATACAACCTGCTACGAGTAGACTCCTGGAACCTGGCGCCCACATGCGCAAATAACTGGAGGCCAAAACGAAAGAAGTTGGTGATCGGTGACACACACACACAGACATGGACAGAAACGCTCTCGGTGCCATCATGGTCTGGGCAGTGGCCACAGTTGGAGGGACTTTCTGGAGGGTCAAGCCTAGGCGTGGCAGAAGAAGGCCGGATTCGCACAAGTTTCCGAACCCCGCCTTCAGAAACACCTCCGGCTCCTCCACATCGGCGATGGCATCCGGATCGGTGAGCTCACTGAGCACCTTCCGGTTTAGGGCTTAGGGTTTAGAGGTTTAGGGTTTAGGGTTTCGACTCACACACTCGCACAAGGCAGGCATGGCAATGAGGTTCCGAGCTTGCTACGTGAACATGCTGAACAGGCGAGCAGAGAGCGAACACCACCGTAAACAGAACGCAGGAATGCAGTAGAACAAATA